ATTGATTGAGATCTACAGATTTAATTGTTAAGCTTTATAGATCACAAAAGTATTTTGAGCGCATAGAAAATCGATTCTGAGTTAATGCCAACGATTATAACTCATTCGAACAGTTTCAATGAGAGTTAAAGTTCATTTCGTGATCATATCGATCAAAACTAACAGAAATAGTTACTTCATTATATGATCGTATGCTTAGTCATCAAAGTGGAAAGAACTAATCATCTACTGTAGACTTTGTTACTTCTGCAAAAACAAAGAATACACGTATTATCTTTCTATCCATTAGACTTTAACTCTTCTCTAAAGGAAAAGAAATCTATGGCAAAATATTGTCTAAGTTACGAAAAAACTATACTAAGATTAGTTATCACTTATTCTCAACAGTGAATAAAGCAATTTAGAAGTATTCTATTTCTCTTTGAAATAATTGATCAATATTTACTCACAATTATCTACTTATGTTTACATTTAAGACATATGAAGAAAACTTTATTATTTATTCTTATCTAAAAATGTAAATCTTTTGGTGGACAAGATAGTTGTATTCTGTAATTCATCAAGAATCATGTACAATTAATCTGAATAGATGGAAATAATATGAAAAATCTTAATGCTAATATAATTGGAACACAACACAAATTATGCTTGTCAAATAATCAAAAACTAAACTGTTATCTTTGATATCATGTAACAACAAACGCAGTTGTTTATTATTTTATTTGACGTAAGTAAATAAAATTCTTTAACAGTTTCTTTCGTAATTAAAAAAAATGTTATATCAATGTTAGCATTAGTTTTCAAGTTATTAGTGTTATTATGTATGAAGAATGTCACCAAGAAAATCAATACATCAACTATATATAGCTATTATTAACGAGAGACTATTCAAGACTTAGCATATTTATGGTCGATTAGACGACCATGAATAGAAAAATATGCTAACTGTCAACAGGGTTTTTATTTCATTATGATCAAATTCTACATGTTAAGGATAGATATTAAGTTAGAACTAATGAATTATCAGAAAAATGAAGCAAACATTAAATGAATTGACATGCTATGAATGCACTGGTCTCAACGACAGTTCGAACTTGCGATAAAACTCAGTGACATCGTATCGAACATGATATTTCATAATTATTTACTGATGAGACATCAGAGAATATGATTCTTTATGAAGACAATCTGCGCGATCATATTGTCAACAAGATCATTACTGATATGAAAGTACCTAATATTCTAGTTATTACACGTGAAAATTGTTTATCTACACGTCTTACAGCTGCTCTCATAAACTATTCGATTTGGATAATTACGAAAAAACACAAACTATGACATTAAATAGCTGAAAAAACAATGTCTAACAAGAGTAGAAAATAATCGAGATCACTTCGGACTAACAAGAAAAACATTATTAAAGTTTACTATGTTCATTGATCGCATATTGAACGTACATACTGCTTCACATATACGAAATAAAAAATTGAATTGCTCTCTATTTAGCTTTTTCAAATAAATAAAATGATCTTCAAATAGTCAATATGTCACCTATAAAATGAATCCATTAAGTCAAGAAATCAGTTTACATCTAATTGCTCGACATAATGTTAATCATTCAGTGATCATTATTGAATCTCATTAGTTTCATAGACTAAGACATTTTTGAGTTGTTCAATCTACATTGTTCTTTCTCTTTCTGTGAGATAAAAATTGAACAAAACTTTGAGTATAACAAATAAAAAAATAAAATAAAAAGTAGAAAAATACTACAGTATTTTATTTTCTTCAAGTATTTGTTGGTCCATTTGTATCATTTTCATGCTCTATTCGATTCCATCGTTGTTCTTCACCATTGAATAAAATACAATAAGCAAGACTACCAAAAGCACCAATACCTGCTGAAATATTAAATATAAGACGCCAAGCTTCAATTGTTTGCTATAAATAAATATTCAATCGATATTCTTCATAGACTAGAAAAATAACAAATCTTACATTATTTTTTGTAATAGCTCCAACAACATATGGACCAACAAAACCAGGTATTGTTGCTAATGTATTTGTAATACCAACAAGTGTTCCTAATTACAAAATTTGTTTTCTAATTCAATCAAATCTATATAAAAATTCTTACCGGCATAATTTGATGCAATATCAAGATGTGAAATAATTGCACCACATGTTTGTAAACCAAGAAAACCAACAGCAAGAATACAACAAAGAACAGCACGAAATTGATTACATCCCATATAACCAATAGCTACTAAAAATCCACATGTCCCAACAGTACCTCAAATATATATATATATATACATATATAAAATAAGACTTCTTTTAGTTATTCAAAGATTAATTTGTATTTTATTTACCAATAATTGTTTGTGTTTTTCGAAGTGTAGTTATAGAAAATGTTTTACGTGCTCGTAGACGATCAACAATTTGACCAACAATAATTGTTGTTAAAAATTGTACAAAATAAGGTAAAGCAAAAATAAAACCATTCTTAATAAAAAGAAAGAAAAAGAAATGAAACTCAATAAAAATGAAGAAATAGAAAACCTGTTGTAAATTGAAATTAAGTATAGTAGCAAAATAAGTAGGTAATGATGTTAATAAAGTATAATAAATATAATTATAACAAACATGCAGTATAGCGAGACCATAGACAGGTGGACAGCAAGCAATTTTCTTCCATGGTGTAACTCGATGCTTGGAAAAGAATAGAAATATATGTATACAATATCATGGTAAGCTGTTCTGGTAGAAAATCAATGTTTCGAATTGGACATAAATTCTTCTAATTAATCCTTATAAAAAGTCTTATTTCTGTGGATATTTGGTACACTACATAATGCTTAGCATTTGCATGCAATAAAGATGTTGAAAATGTGATAGTATCTAAGAAGAAATATTGATGAGTTATAAGTAGATCAATAAAAACGCAATATCCGACGACGAACGGTACCAATTGTTTTTGGTTCCGGTGCTGGTCTGAAAAATTTCTGATTTTGAATTTATCCTTAGTAATAAATGTGCTGGTGAAAAGTGCGATATCATTTTCTGCCAGTGTCAATGAGTCTGAAACATCTATTACGATTTATATAACCTCTAATATCCTTTCTTTTGAAGATTGATTATTCTGTTTTAATTCAGTAACACTTCGTCTATTCGGTACGTTTATATGTTCGACAACTCTGTTGTTTACAAAAAGAAAACGATTACTTTTACTATCGAAATTATAGCACTAAACAATGAAGTGATCATTACTCAATAGTTTTTTCCACAAACTTTTAGAACAGATACGTCGTGAGAATATGACATTTGGCGCAAGTTGTACATAACCATAAAAGATATTTCTCTCAATTAAAGTGTTGGTTGTAATTCTACTGGAATCAGAACTGGTATCATTGCGCCCATATTTAACTGTATTAATCAGTACTATGTTTTATTGAAAATGCATACTGCTAAGTACTGCAAAGTGTACCAACTTTTCATGTGATTTTGGATTTTTAGGGAAATTAGTAGAATGAATATGAATCCGCACCGAAACTCATGTAATCCGCTCCGTTGTTTTTTTTCTTTATATACTTTCGATGGACGTGGTGGTATATGTTTACTGAGAAAAAGTCGTTCTTTGTTTGAAATACGTGGATGTTGATTTGGAGAATTAAAACCAAAAAAACACCAACAAATAAACCATATACATGATGTCATACCTAAATCACAAAGAAATAATTATTTTATTTTCTTACTATTATCATACCAAAAACATAAAATGCTGATGGCCATCCACCAATAAATCCATTTTCAGTCAT